AAGAGGCTATTCTGCCCATTGTGTCTGTGTTGGCTATTTGAAACATCTAAATATCTAGTACCACTCCCCGTGCTCTTTGCCTGTAGATTTTTGTTCAAGTATTTATCCAATTCCTTTTTGAAAGTTACTGTTGAATCCAATTCCGCCAACTTTATGGGCAGTGCATTACGTGCTAAGTAAACTCGTCTCCCCTCCCGTTCTTTGGCCAGTTACAATAACTTGGTGTATTCGCCTGCCATTGGAAACAGTTTCTCCTCATTCAGCCTGTAGAGGGCCCTTGATGAATATTGTAGCCATCTCATCTGCCCTAGTGTTTGCATTGGCCTGTAATTGTAATAATGCTAAAAACTGACATCCAAATGAGGAAACGTTGGCGTTTGATCAGAACAGGAAAGGTGCAGAGTTCGCTCCTAGAGGGTAAAGTGGAAGGCAGGAGTCCATCTCATTGCCATTGGGTGAGCAGTTGTGGATGAGCTACTGCAGATGTTGTAAGGATGAAGTAGGACAGATGAGCATGAGAGACCAGGACAGTAGATCAGAAGTCACAGCTGTAATCATCCCTTACACAGTGCGTTGTTATGTTCTGGGATGCTGAAAGGACAGTGCAAACAATTTCAATAGGAACTTTCGGACAGAGTTTAGATAAATATTTCAGCAGGCGATACAGACTCGATGGGCCAAAGGGTCTTTTCTGTACTGTATGATCCTGTAGCAGATCTATGGCAAAAGAGCAGAAAATAGGAACAAAAACAGAGTTGCTGGAAAAGCTCAGCAGGTCTGGCAGCATCTGTGAAGGAAAAAAACAGAGTTAACGTTTCGGGTCCAGTGACCCTTCCTCAGAACTGGACCTGAAATGTTAACTCTGTTTTTTGCTTCACAGATGCTGCAATCCTGCTGAGCTTTTCCAGCAACTTTGTTTTTGTTCCTGATTTACAGCATCCGCAGTTCTTTTGGTTTTTATTGAGCAGAAAATAGGGACTGATTAGGAGAACTCTTTCAAGGAGCCAGCAAACACACAGAGGGCCAAATGGTCTCTTTCACTACAGTACGATACTGTGACAGTAGTAGATAATTATAGAGCTTTGAAGTTGCACTGAGGAGGCTGAAATCTGAATGTTGGTCAGTTTCTATTCCTGTTTGATTCATCAGGTAAGGCAGAGTCTCCCAGCTTGGATTGGCTTGTAGTTTAACAGTGATTTGAGGGTGTGACTGTGGGAAGAGACAGCAAGCGGCTGGCTCATTCATTAAGTTCAATTTCAGCTGAGCAAAAACTGAACCGAAACTAAGGTTTTGGTAGAAAATATTCTGGAACCAGCTGACCTAATGCTCATGAAGGGGAGAAATAGTTGTTACTTCCCATTTTTTAAAAGAAATGGAATTGCACAACACAGTTTCTTGTGACAAAACCTCCTTAAGTTTGAAAGAAAGGATACAGAATGTTTAATTATAGCTGTTAGTGGTCAGAGCAATTTCTGTCTCCAGTAAGTATATAACGAAACTATGCACTATATTTAAATGTCCTACTTCTGTGGAGCGTTCAGATTTTGAAGACTCTACATTTTTGCAATCATCGTTTGTCTTTACTGTTTTAAATCTTCAGACTTGCAGCTGGATTTTACACTGACGGATGACTTCTGCAAGAACCATTTCTTGGTGGGGTTGTTACTAAGGGAGGTTGGCAGTGCATTGCAGGAGTACAGAGATGTACGTCAGATTGCAATCAGCGTACTGAAGAGCTTGATGATTAAACACACCTTCGATGATCGCTACTTAGCTAAGGTATGCAGAGTCACACAAATCCGCGCTGGTGGAGTGCAAGGATGCCTGTAGAGTTTTAGGTAAAATGTGTGCTGTCTTATAAATGGAGACCAGTTGAACAAGAGTGCTCTGAGTCAATACTAGCCTCCCATGTGGAGGTGCCGATGTTGGACTGGGGTGGACAAGGTCAGAAATCACACAACACCGAGATATAGTCCAACGGGTTTATTTGAAATCACAAGCTTTAGGACCGCTTCATCAAGTGAAGTACGCTACCATTTCCCTGCATAATTCCTTCAAAGCCAATATCTGGAAACCCGATGATCTATGTATTGACCATACTCAATGAATGAGCCACCACATCCCTCTGGGCTCGAGCATTCCAAAGATTCACCACACTCTGAGACAGTGCCCACTGATTCTAGACCCTCCAACCCCACCCACAGCCAGAGGAAATCTCTTTCCTATATCTGCCCTGTCAAGCTCTGAAGATTTTGTTTGCTTCAATCACTCATTATTGTAAACCCACAAGACTACAGGCCCATACCCCTCAACTTCTCCTCTTATGGCAATCCTACCATCCCACTGATCAGTCTAGTGAACTATCATTACATACCCTCTGTGGCAAGTATAGCCTACCTTTGATGTTTAGGGTGGGAATCCCCAATGTTAGGGCCTTAAGCAGCTGAATTGTTTAAACAGCCTGTTCCCTGACCCAGCTCTATTCAAGAATTCAGTCATCTTGGATTCTTCAGCTGTCCAGATCTCCTCTCCTTTTATCTTCTGTTAACATCGAGTGAACACAAAGGTTGCTTCTCCCTACTCTCTCAACTCTCAAAGGGATTACATCCAGAGTCTGAGAGCTTCCTAAATAATTGTAGGGTGTAGGAACCCTATATCAACACTGCAAATAGCCCCAATACATTTCACACCCCCTTAACTACTTCTGTCTATGTGCCAAACAAATACTGAAGGTCGGAGCCTGGGAATTCTGCGGCAAGTAACTCAGCTCCTGACTCCCCAGTGAAAGCCTCTCCACCATTCTCGAGGCATAAATCAGGAATATGATGGAATACTCCCCATTTGCCTGGATGGGTGCAGCTCTAACAAGACTCAAGAAGCTTGACACCATCCATGACAAAGCAGTCCATTTGACTGACACCACATTGACCACCTTCAATATTCCCTCTCTCCAAACCTGTGACCACTACGACCTAGAAGTAAAGAGTTTGGGAAAAACCCCACCTTCAAGTTCCCTCCTTCCTGACTTGGAAATATATGAAGCTGTTCCTTCATTGTCACTGAGTCAAAGTTCTGGAACCCATTCTCGATCAGCAATATGGCTTCTCCAGTGCAGTTAGAACTGGCCTTGCCAGAGATGCCCAGTTCCCACAAACAAATCAAGAAAAAGCTGAAGTTGCTGCACATGAAACGGAAATTGATAAAAAGTTGTCAAAAATTAACTTTAAAATGTCCGGTGGGGCAGAATATTTCCATGCCCACATTGAGATGCATTCCCTTAGTCGCATGGTTTCTGTGGCTGGGTCATGTGACTGCAGTCACTGAGATTTTACCCACAGTACAATTCCAAAGTCAGAACTAAAGGACTCTGGAATATTGGGAAATATTTGCTTGGGAGCAAGTTGAGGGAGCTTTAGAAGAAAACGAGAAAGCCTGCATTTCTTTAGGGCCTGTACCAATCTTTCTCCCCAGCCAGAAAAGTAATTTACAGCCAAAGAAATGTTTTTGCAGGGTAGTCACTGTTATAATTGCTGATGTGAAGATGCCAGCCAATTTGTATACAGCAAACTCACACAAACAGTAACGTGAAAATGGCCAGATAAACGTTTTTGGTGATGCTGATTGAGGAATAATTTTTATTTTAAATTCATTCGCTGGATGAGGGTATTGCTGGCTTAGGCCAATATTTATTGCCCATCCTTAATTGCCTAGAGGGCAGTTAAGAGTCAACCAGACTGCTGTGGGTCTGGAGTCACATGTAGGCCAGACCAGGTAAGGATGGCAGATTTCTTTCCCTCAAGGACACTAGTGAACCAGATGGGTTTTTTCCAACAATCGGCAATGGATTCATGGTCATCGTTAGACTCTTAATTCCAGATTTTTTTTTCTTGAATTCGAATTCCACCATCTGCCATGGCGGGATTTGAACCTGGACCCTAGAACATTATCTGGGTCTCTAGATTAACATTCCAGAGATAATACCACTGGGCATGGAGGAGCCACCCCCTGCCTGTCTTTGTAATAGTCTAATTGGATCTTTTACATCCAGTTGAGATGGCAGACGGGGACTCAATTTAATGTCTTCTCTGAAAGAACGCGCACCTCTGAGAGTGCAGCACTGTGTCACTACTGCACTGGCAGCATCAGCCTAGAGTTTCCCCATCAACGGTCTGGACTGGGCCATGACTCATGGTCTCAGACTCAGAGGAGATAGCGGAGTCTCTGGCTGATAGGAGGTTAAAGGAAGAGCGATGATCAGAGATCGCATTTGAGTTGACGGGGTTTGTTTTGAGGACTGTGGTTGTGCTGAGAGTGATCTTCTGAGGAATCTGTTATTTGACTAGTAAGAGTAAAATGTTTGGGAATTTTAAAGGAGAATTGAAAGAGGGGGGCATTCATAGAATGATGGAGATGGTGTTATCACCTATTGAGGATCTGGGAGGAATCCTTGTGACTAAATGGAGCTAGGAACAGGGGATTATGTGCTAATTAAGGGATAATTGGCCAGGCACTTGACAGGGTACGTATTGTATATTGAAGACTAAAGTCACCACAATCTCGGAGGATCATAGGGCTACTGTCTCATTAGAGAAGGTCAACTAGTCGTGGTTTAATTTGAGGATCACCACGTCTCAGCAGAGGGTTGACATTGAGAAGGTGGGACCTCTGTAGTGACCTCAGCTGATACAAGAATTGAACCCACACTGTCAGTGTCTGTGCATCACAAACCAGGCATCCAGCCAACTGAGCTAGCGACCCCCAATGAATATACACAGGGAACATGTAACCAGTGTATTTACAAGATTTACAAGAATATTTACACGTAGACTCTTCCTAATCAACCTTTAACCTCTGACATTTAACAATTGGGGCACATTTGGAGAAAGATTGGGGTGAGGTGTGAATTGTAGAATGACAAGGAACTTGAGTTAAATACTGGGGACTGGGTAGGGTGAGTCCTTATGAAGGACTGGACAACTGCGATCTTTCAGCTTAAAACCTTTTACAAATAAGATTCTGAAAAACCAAAGCAGTCTTTCCTGTTTCCACTGAGTTGGGGGAAGGAAAGCTCAGACTATTGCGGGAAGGGTGTGGAAGGTGAGGTAACAGCATGTGACTAGGAGACACGGAGGAGGCAGCTCACTGTGGATCACATTGACCTTCAGATAACCCTGGAGCAGAGGGAGCTCAACCAAGGGAAGTAGACGGGATCTCAATTTAGTGTCGTGTTTGGAATGTTGTCCTTGCCCTGTACTGCATGGAAGATGTTGTCCTGAGGTACTCTGTACCTGAAACCTCTCGATCTGGAGCAGGGGTTCGATGAACAAATACATCCAAACTGACTAAGGTTACCTACAGGGAGCCTGTTGTAATACCTGAAAATGTCGTATTAAATTAACACCGAGTAAACAGCATCATGTTAAACCTTTATAAATTAGCTGTTCACTCACCTGAGGAATGACGTCACATCCCTGGAGAGGGGGCAGTGGAGATTTATTGGGATGGAAGGGGCTTCAGTTATTTGGAGAGGCGAGAATTATTGTTCTTACAGGAGAGAAGCTTAAGACCAGATTTAATTAAGCCATTCAAAATAGTTAAAGGGTTTCGATAGAATAAATGTGGAGAAACTATTTCTGTTGGTAGGATAGTTGGTAACTCAAACCCATGGATTTAAGATAATTGGCAAACAGAGGCTTGGGTAATGAGAATGGTGAGAACAGATGCTATGGTAACTTCCAAAAGGAACTTGGTCAAATACTTCAAGATATTTTGGTTTACAAGGTAATGGGGGAGAAAACAGATGAGTTGGGACTATTTGTTAACCTCTTTCAAAAATCAGGTACAGCACAGGTATGATGGGCCAAATGGTCTCCTTCTATACTATTTGATTCCACAATAGTCTGAGCTTCCCTTCCCCCAACTCAGTGGAAACAGGAAAGACTGCCTTGTTTTTCAGAATCTTATTTGTAAAAGGTTTTAAGCTGAAAGATCGCAGTTGTCCAGTCCTTCATTTTCCAGAAACGAGTTTCATTAGGTTTGTCCATGTGTAGTTTCTATAGCAACAAAAACAGAAGTTGCTGGAAAAGCTCAGCAGGTCTGCCAGCATCTGTGAATAGAAAATCAGAGTTAACGTTAACTTTGATTTCTCTCTCTCAGATACTGCCAGACCTGCTGACCTTGTCCTGCAACATCTCTTGTTTCTGATTTACAGCATCCATTCAGTAGCTCGGCATCACCACCTGGTGGAAGGATGAAATATTGCAGCGGTTTCAAATGTCATTGCCACAAGTCAACTTCAGAATTTGTGAAAGGTGAAAATCTCTGGGCGCTTAGACTGTCAATCCCTCCCCACCACATGCAGTACAGAAGGTAGCAATTCTGCTTATCATGCTTGTGCCAACTGTTTGAAAGACCTGTCCTATTATTCCCATCCCCTCCACTTTTTCTATGTAGCTGGAAGCTTTACCAGTGCAACCACTATTTGCTTCCCTTTCAAAGTTAACTATTAAATCTACTTCTGTCGACCGTTACAGCAGAGATTTCTAGTTTATTAAAAAAAGCTTGTGGGCAGTTGGGTGGTGGGAGTTGGGAGGTCACATTGTGGTTGCACAGGACATTGTTTAGGCCACTTTTTGAGTACTGCATTCAGTTCTGGTCTCCCTGCTATAGGAAGGATGTTGTGACACTTGAAAGGGTTCAGAAGAGATTTACAAGGATGTTACCAGGGTTGGAGGGTTTGAGCTGTAGGGAGAGGTTGAATAGGCTGGGGCTATTTTCCCTGGACCGTCGGAGGCTGAGGGGTGACCTTACACATGTTTGTAAAATCATGAGGGGCATGGATAGGGTGAATAGCCAAGGTCTTTCCCCCAGGGTAACAGAGTCCAAAACTAGGGTGGATAGGTTTAAGGTGAGAGGGGATACATTTAAAAGGGACGTAAGGGACATTTTTTCACGCAGAGGGTGGTGCATGTATGGAATGAGCTGCCAGAGGAAGTGGTGGAGGCTGGTACAATTACAACATTTAAAAGGCATCTGGACAGGTACATGAATAGAAATGGTTTAGAGGGATATGGGCTAAATGCTGGCAAATGCGACTAGATTTATTTAGGATATCTGGGCAGCAGAGACGAGTTGGACCCAAAGGTCTGTTTCCGTGCTGTACGTCTCTATCACTCTATGAATCTCAGAACTTTAGTGTTTTGAATTGTGTTCCTTATCAAGACTGGAGAGGGAGCAGAGTTAACGTTTCGGGTGCAGTGATCCTTCTGTTGTGCAGTATGGTCACTGGACCTGAAACTTTAACTTTGCTTTCTGTCCATAGATGCTGCCAGAGTCTCTCCAGAAATGTTTGTTTTGATTTCAGATTGCCAGCGTCCATTGTTTAATCCTGATGGAGAGTGTCTTTCTGCCCCTGTTTTGTGCAGTGGTGAAATTTCGAACCCCTTCACATTTTGACTTTGAACCCTGAGGTAATATCCCACCCCAGGGTGCACTGCTTGCTCTGTGCCTAAGCAATGGATTAGCAGGTAAAGCTCTTACCACTGAGTCAGAAGGCTGTGGGTCCAAGTCCCAACGTAGAGAATTGAACAAGAAATTTAGGCTGACGTGGGCAGCACAGCTCAGAAGGCTTGCTGCACTGTCAGAGGTGCTGTTTTTCAATTGAGACACTGCAATATCTGCTCCGTCAGGTGTATGTAACAGATCTCACATACTATTTAAAAGAATAACAGTGGACTCCTAGTTCTTATTGGAGGAGGCAGCTCACTGTGGATCACCTGGACCTTCAGATAACCCTGGAGCAGAGGGAGCTCAACCAAGGGAAGTAGACAGGATGTCAGTTTAGTGTCATGTTTGGAATGTTGTCCTTGCCCTGTACTGCATGGGAGATGTCGCCTTGTGGTATTCTGTATCCAAAACATCTCAATCTGGGGCAGGAATTCAGCCAGCAAACACATCCAAACTGACTGAGGTTACTGCGTCTGCTTACATACAGGGAGCCTGTTGTAATACCTGAAAATGTTATTTTAAATTAACAGCGAGTGAACAGCTTCACATTAAATTCTCATAAATTAGATGTGTTCCCACTTCAGGAATGATGTCACATCCCGAGAGAGGGGCACAGTGGTGATTTATCAGAATGGAATAAGGATGAGGGGGCTTCAGTTATAGTGATCATTGCATCACTAATTGGGTAGCACCCTGGTACAAGGGTTAGCACTGCTGCCTCACAGCGCCAGGGTCCCAGGTTCAATTCCAGCCTCAAGTGATTGCCTGTGCGGAGTTTGCACATTCTCCCTGTGTCTGTGTGAGTTTGCTCTTGTTTCCTCTCACAGTCCAAAGATGTGAAGGTTAGGTGGATTGGCCATGCTAAATTGCCCATAGTGAGCAGGAATGTGCAGACTAATTGGGTTAGCCATGGGGGAAATACAGGGATAGGGTGGGATGCTGTTTGGATGGTCAGTGTGGATGGGCCAAATGGCCTCTTTCCACACTGTAGGGGTTCTATTTGTGGGAGTTCGCTGAGTGCAAGTTTGTTGCTTCGTATCCTACACCACAACAGTGACTACACTATGAAAGTTACTTCATTCATTGCAGTCTCCTTTGAGACATCCTGAGGTTGTAAATAGAGCTGTGGATATGCAAGTCTTTCTTTTCACTGTTTCATTATAGTGCTTAACAGGTGGTTCAGTATGCAAGCAGTATTTCTTAGCTTCCAGAATAGATTTCTTATCATGAAGCTGTTTCCCCTCTTCCAGAGTCAGCAGGCCAGAATCGCCACTTTGTACTTACCTCTCTTTGGCCTTCTGCTTGAAAATGTACAGCGGATCAATGTGAAGGATTGCTCTCCATTTCCCATCAACCAGTCCAGCAATGTGAGTAACATTGTCCAAACGGCTTGTGCTTGGAACCAGGCGAATGGTTTCAGTCTGCACTGTTCCTCATCACTCTGGCTCTTTTTGTGCCTCCACGTTGCAGTCTCGAGGCTGGAGATTATGAACTAGTTTTCTGCAGCTGCTGCGTTGGTTGCATTTCTTCCCATCTGAACATTTTCCAAACATTGAGTGAAATTGATGTATGTTAATTGAGTGGGCAGAACTGTGACCAATGTAGTTTACTGCGGGGCACTGTGAGCTTGTTCAAGTTTGAATGCAGTGAAGATAAGTCAAGAGTCCTTTTACCGCGGTAGGAAGCGAGGTACTGTGGAAGTACAGAAAGATTTAAACACCCAATTTGCACAAATTACTGGAAAACAATGGAGAGGTACAATAAAAAATGAGGAAGGTTGGTGACGTTAATGTCAGGGGTGTTGGAACCCAACAAGGTGTAAGTTAGAGACAAAAACAGAAATCACTAGATAAGCTCAGCGAGCCTGGTGGCATCTGTTTGACCAAGGTGTAAGTTACATGGTTTGTAGATTTCATTTGGAGTAATTGAGCTGTCACCTTCAGGAAGATATGTGGGCCTTTGAGGGATTACAGTGTAGATCCATCAGAGAGGGGCTGTTTTAATTTTCCGTGTCCTAGTTAATGGAGGATTTACTAAAAATTACAAAATATAAACAGAAAATTTTGGAAACTCTCAGCAGGGCAGGCAAGATATGCAGAAAGGGAAGTGGTGTTGTGAACATTTCAGCTCAAAGATCTTTTATCAGATCTGGAACAACTGAGAAATTTAATGGATTTTAAGCCAGTATAGAGGCTGAATAGATTAGAATTGGGGAAGGGAGAGGATGGAGCAAAGGAGAAAGTGTGAAATGAGTTGGATGACTTTAGTGATTAAACAGCATTTGGTGATTATCTCACAAAGAAAAACAGAAATTGCTGGAAAATCTCAACAGGTGTGGTAGCATCTTCAGAACTGATGGTAACTAGGAATATGTTGTATCTTTATGCAGAATATTGGATGGAGGGAGGGTGTAAGGAATAAACGATAGGTGGAGATAGAGCCCAAAGAGAGAGAAGAACAGCTGGACAAACAAACGAGTGAATAACGGTCAGCCTAGGGGAATGAATGGCTGCTAACGGGGTCTGTTAATGGCTAACAATGAGTAATGTGTAACAGCAGACTGATTTCTGTTATTGTTTCTGAATTCCAGCATCGGCAGTTCTTTGGTCTTTTTTTAATTTAGCGGTTATGTAACACCTTTGACACTGAAACATCTCGGGATGTTTCCTAAGGAGTGATTTCAAACAACATTTGACCCCAAGCCATTATCTGAACGAGCACCATCTACAAGTTTGCTGATGACACCATCCTGGTGGGATGGATATCTAACAACGACGAGTCAAAATACAGAAAGGAGATAGAGGGCTTGGTGTCATGGTGCAGTGAAAACAATCTGTCTCAACATTGGCAAAACTAAAGAACTGATCATCGAATTGAGAAAGAAAGGAGGAGAACACGCCCCCTATCTACTTCAACAGAACTGAGGTTGAGAGAGTGAAGAGCATCAAGTTCCTCGGAGTGATGATAGCCAACAACCTGTCCTGGACTTCTCACATAAATGCAACAGTCGAGAAGGCATAACAATGCCTCTTCTTCCTCAGGCAGCTCAGGAAATTTGGCATGTCCATAAGGTCTCTCACCAACTTCTACAGATGCACCATTGAAAGCACACTGTCTGGGTGTATAATGGCCTGCTATGGCAACTGCTCTGCCCAGGACCATAAGAAACTACAGAAGGTGGTGTGCACAGCCCAGACCATCATGGAAGCCAACCTTCCATCCATTTACATGGCTCGCTGCCGCAGAAAGGGGGCCAACATCATCGAAGACCCATCGCACCCTGGTAATGACCTCCTACAAGCTCTTCCATCAGGCAGAAGATACAGAAGCCTGAACACACACACCAGCAGGTTCAGGAACAGCTTCTTTCCTGCCATTATCAGACTGTTGAATGGACTGTAGCCTCAAATAATGTAACCTGCAATGTAACCTATATGCCTCTAAGTCTTTTTGATGTGTACATCCTTTGCTTGCTGTGATCTGCCAATACCGCTCATAAACAAAGCTTTTCACTGTATTTCGGTACGCGTGACATAAAATCAATCCTACTAGGAAATATTAGGACAGGTGAACAAAAGCATAGTTGGATTGTTGATAAATAAATAGTTTTGTATTTTGATGTAGAGTGGAAAAGAGGAGTCTTCATTCAGTTTACAAGCAGGAAGTACCATGCTGACTCCACAGAGACCAGGAAACACGCTAGATAACAGTGTCCACAAGGAAGTGTTTGGTGTTATATCGGGCACAGGTGAGTAACTCTTTCGTTTCATTCATGATATTTGTTCCTGGGGTTATGGGTATCTCCAGCATCTGTTACCTATCCCTAATGGCCCTTCCTGTACATTTCAGAGGGGAGCTAAGAGTCAGTTTGTGGGTCTGGAGTTACATGCTGGCCAGGCAAAGAGATGATGATAGATTTCCTTCCCTGAAGAACATTAGTTCACCAGACAGGTTTTTGCAACAATCAGTAGTCTCATGGTAACAGTTACCAAGAATATCTTTTAATTTCTGATTTATTTTGTTTTGTTAATTACATTTACTGCTGGGACTTGAATCCATTCTGTCAGAGCATTAATCTGGGCCTCTAAAATACTAGTCCCATGGCAATGCCACCATGCCACCTTCTTAAAGCTGGATGTAGTATGCTTCCACTACTGAGTATTTTGCCAGGAACCATTTAAAATAGGGTGGGTGCAGAACCCACTACCTTCTCACCAATACCCACAATTACTTTGGAGGGTGGGCTGGTGCTGAATTAGGCAGCCCATCTACCATATGTAAGTAAATAATTATGAGTCAGCTGAGTTTGATAAAAGCTGAAATGCCCCTGATATTACCCTTCTCACACACGGTGTGAAGGGCTGGATTGGACAGTGGGTTTTCCTTTGCTTTTCTCAATGAGTTCTGGGGGAACAGCACCTCATGTTCCACTTCAACACTTTACAGCTTTCAGAGCTCAACAACTTCAGAAAGTGACCTCTGTCCTCCATTTTGATCACCACCTCTACCTGGCTGTGTCGTGTTGACTTTGCTCTCAGCAGAGCAGCCCCATTGTCTCCTTCTGCGAACTTATCATTTACGCCCATTTTACATGTCAATCTCTCCTTTGCCATCAATAGCACTGCCTTTGTCGTTTGGGCATCATCACCATCTGTTCCACTCCCTCCTCCTCCCTCTCTGTCAGCAACATGAAAGGCACCATTTTGCGGCTCTTTCTGTTCCGAAGAAGAGTCGTCCTGGACTCCAAATGTTAATTCTGTCTCTCTCTCCGGATGCTGCCAGACCTGTTGAGTTTCTCAGCTACTTTGTTTTTATTTCAGATTTCCAGCATCCACAATATTTTGCTTTAATTTGGCATTTTTATTCCTTACAAGTTTTAAAAAGAGCAGGAAGGAAGGGGTTACTAATTTCCAAAGTTGCCTGTGCGCATCAGGGGCAACAACCGCATAATGCAGTGATCCCCTCACTTCCTTGCTGCGTAGACCTGCAGCCCAACTCTGCCCCCTTCCCTCAGGTCGCTAAACCCTCCCCCCTGCCCACTGCCCCTTATTTAGCTGAGTCCGGGGCCAAACAGACTTCTTGAGATTGGCTGCAGTTCCGTCAGTGCCCACTACCAAACTGTGGCGCTTTTTGGGGTTGTCAGGCAGTCGGATTGGTTTGGCATTTCCAGAAGATGGGATTTCTGCTACTGAGGGGGTGGAAGTCCCACTTGGAACCAGTTTAGCCCATATGTGGCAAACCAGGCCTTTTCCCAGCTGACCCCGACTTCCCTTCTGGGATTCCAAATTGGCTGCAAGTGCATCTCCATAAATTTACACTTTTCCTGCAAGATCGTGCTGTGGCTTTTGCTTTTAACTCAGTCTTACCAAAACTGTTTCAGAGATAGTAGGAACTGCAGATGCTGGAGAATCTGAGATAGCAAGGTGATCAGATTTCATTCAGATCTTCAGATTTCTGAAGAAGCAGCCTTCCTGCTCCTCTGATGCTGCTTGGCCTGCTGTGTTCATCCAGCTCTACACCTTGTTATCTCTCTTACCAAAACTGTACCTGCTTGGAACTGCATGTACAAGGAGTAAATACACAGCAGGGAGGCCCGTGAAGTAGAATAAACTTCATGCTGTGTACATGTAAATGGGACACTTCTTAACGCTCCCGGTGCTAGCTCTGCAGCTCAGTTGGAAGGTACAGCAACTCTGAGTCAGAAGCTGTTGGGTTGGGTCCCACTTCACAGTGTTAGAACCATAGAAATGAGGCAGCACAGAATGGAGCCATTTGGCCAGTCTTGTCCATGCTGACCCAAAACACCCAGCTGCCCTTTATAATCCCATCTTCCTGCGTGTGGCCCGTAGCCCTGTAGCTGACAGCACTTAAGGTGCAGATCCAGGTACTTGTTAAAAGAGTTTAGAGTCTCTGCCTCCACCACCAAATCAGACAGTGAATTCCAGGCACTCACCACCCTCTGCATAAAAACATTGTTCCTCACGGCCCCTCTAATCCTTCTGCCACTTAGCTTGAAACTGTGACCCCTGGGTTTTGAACTCTTTGCCAAGGGAAACAAGTTCCTCCTGTATACTGTATACCTACCCCTCACAATTTTGTAAACTCAGCCTTCTCAGTTCCAAGGAAAGCCAGTATCTCCTTGTAGCCCTGGCTATACCCTAGAAATGTGCACTGCGATTGGTTGGGATGTTCCTGGTGCAGTAATGATTGAGTTCTGCATTGTTGGAGCTGCTGTATTTTTGAAAAGATGTCGCTATCATTTTCCTTCAGGGTGATTCCTAGCCAGTCATCTGCCAGAAATCAATCATCAAGTTCCTGAAGGGTTTGCAATCCTGTTATGTGCCATTCATCAAAAACATCTCCACATGGGATGTTGGGACTTTGAAATTTAGTCATGTTGTCAGGTATTGTTCAAGTTTTTTAAATGTCCATTACCTCAGGAATGAAAAGACTTTGCTTTTCTTCCCCATGTTGATCTACTGACAGCTTCTCCTCATGGATCGTCCACTCCGACTATCAGTGTAGTGAAGCATGCGGACTCCAGAGGCTCTTTGATCAGCACTGACTCAGCCACGAGTCTACCAGAACGCAACACTGAAAAGCGTAACTCCCTCGATAAGGTAGAATTTCACCTCAAAAGTTTTGTGTTGCAGAACAAGTTAACTGTTACCGAGATGCTTCAATATTAAGTAACTTGTCTGTTGTATTATTTACATGGTTGGGCTGGAATTTGCTGGAATGGATCAACTCTTGACGTTCTTCATTCCTTGGGCTTTATACCCCACCCCTTCAACTCAAATAGTTTCTCCCTGGGTGGGAGGGTGCGCTGACAGCAGCACAGTGAGGGCAATGGAGCATCTGGGACCTGCGTGAACAACAGAACCAACAGTTTGTTTCCTTAACCAGTATTTTTCTATTGTGAAAAAAAAACATGAAAAACAGGGAAGGAAATCAGATGTATTAGATTCAATCTGACCCAAAGCGAAACATAGAAAATAGGTGCAAGAGTAGGCCATTCGGCCCTTTGAGCCTGTACCACCATTCAATATGATCATGGCTGATCCCGCAATCTCAGTATCCCATTCCCACTTTCTCCCACACCCCTTGATCCCTTTAGCCGCAAGAGCCACATCCAGCTCCCTCTTGAATGTATCTCATGAACTGGCCCTAACAGCTTCCTGTGGGAGAGAATTCCACAGGTTCACAACTCTCTGAGTGAAGGAATCCTTCCTCATTTCAGTCCTGAATGGCCTACCCCTTATTCTTAGACTGTGACCCCTCGTTCTGGACTTCCCCAGCATCGGGAACATCCTTCCCACATCTAGCCTGCCCAGACCCATCAGGATTTTATATGTTTCTGTGAGATCCCCCCTCATTCTTCTAAACTCCAGTGAGTACAAGCCCAGTCAATCCAGTCTATCCTCATATGTCAATCCTGCCATCCTGGGAATCAGTCTGGTGAACCTTCGCTGGACTCCCTCAACAGTAAGACTGTCCTTCCTCAGACTAGGAGACCAAAACTGCACACAAAACTCAAGGTGTGGCCTCACCAAGGCCCTGTACAACTACAGCAAGACATCCTTACTCTGATACTCAAACCCTGTCGCCATGAACGCCAGCATGCCATTAGCTTTCCTCACTGCCTGCTGCACCTGCATGCCAACCTTCAGCGACTGTTCCACCATGACACCCAGGTCTCGTTGCACCTCACCTTTTCCTAAACTGCCACCATTCAGATAATGATCTACCTTCCTGTTTCTGTGACCAAAGTGGATAACCTGACATTTACCCACATTATACTGCATTTGCCAAGTATTTGCCCCCTCAGCCAGTCTATCCAATCACCCTGCAGTCTCTTAGCATCCTCCTCACAGCACATTCAGCTCAATGTCATCTGCAAATTTGGAGATTCGACATTCAATTCCTTCGTCCAAATCATTAATGTATATGTGAAGGGAAGGAAGACTGGATTAAAAGAGAAAAAAAGAGGAAAGAAAATAATTTCTGTTTAGTTTTTGGTACCTGTTAATTTTCAACCTGAATAAATTTGCCTCTGCACTTTTTAATTACTACTTTGGCAGTTATTAATAATTATCTATTTGTAAAAGAGTCCTCACACTGTTAAGTACCACCTTTAGGGTCCTCTTGTGGTGCAGTGGTAGTGTCCTTACCTCTGGACTGGGAGACCTAGGTTCAAGTCTGCACCTGTCCCAGAGGTGTGTAACATCACTGAACAGGTAGATTAACAAAATATGTCACCACCTTTAACTTCCTGTGGTGAGTTTAATAGGTAATTATTTTGTAAATACAGCAATTACTCGACCTACGAAGAGATTGAGGACGAGCAGCAGTTTTTTTGTGAGGCTAACTGTGGAGCGGAGAGCATCATCCAGTAACTTGAGATGTTCCATAATTCTCAGGGAAATCTCTTCACTGCCACAGGTTGCTAGGGGATTTACTGTTAGTTTTATTCATTCATGGCTAGGCCAGAAAGAGTCAAACACGTTGCTGTGGGTCTGGAGTCACATGTAAGCCAGGCAGGTGAAGATGGCAGATTTCCTTCCCGAAAGGATGCTAGTGATCCAGACGGATTTTTACAAAGTGATTATGTAGTCTAGCATTTGTTTCTAAATTCAGGATTTTTATTGAGTTCAAATTTCATCAGCTTCTTTGGTGGGATTTGAACCCATATCCCATGATTAGGGAGTTGGCCAGCACAGTTAACTGGATGGCTGATCTCTGATGCAGAATGACACTAACTGTGTGGGTTTCAATTCCTGTACTGGTTGTGGTTACCATGAAGCTTCCCCTCTGATCGAGGCATTTGGACAGGCATGTGAACAGGCAGGGGAGATAGAGGGATATCGGCTGAAGGGATTAGTCTGGCATGGCAACATGGTCAGCACAGACATAGTGAGCCAAGGAGCCTGCCCCTGTGCTGTGCTGTTCTATGTTCTATGCCCCAAAACATTACCCTGGGCTTCTGGATCACTAGTCCAGCAACACTACTGTCTTCCTTGTCAGAAGGCTGGTGGAGTTTACCTTTTCAGCAAATTCTGGGCCATCTGTGATTGTCTTGTGGAAACACTGTTTGAGAGTCTCAATGTGACCTTGCCTCCTTTCTGCTAACAGAGGGAAAAGCTCATTAGGAGACACTCTGCTTTTGCATTGCTGACTAACAAAGAAGCTGAGGAAAGTTCAAAATCAACACGACGGAACTGTGTTACTATGGATTTTTCCATTTTAACTATCCCGGTCCTGCCAGAGAAAATCTTGCATGCTGCTTTGTCTCTTGAAGTATTTGCCTCTTGCTTGTGTACCTGAATTCCTGTGTGAATATGTGAGTAGACTGGACCATTAGTAGCAACTCCAGTAACAGTCTCCAGGTCAGAGGCTGCAAATTCCATGTTGTGTAATCCGCTTCCTGCCTTGCCAAAGCCTCTCCAGCATCTACAAGGCATGAGGCAGGAGTGTGATGGAATACTACCCACTTGCAGCCCGTTTGGATTATCAGCCCATCCGCCAGTTTAATAATTCACTCCTGCCCCCAGTGGCACACAGTGAATGCAAGTGTAAGTACCACATACAAAGTTACACCACATTATTTCATGAGGGCTCCTTTGCTAACATTTTCCTGACCATAGGAACAAGGACAAGGGCAGCAGACACATTGGAATATCCCACCACCTGCACATTCCCCTCCAAGCCACTCAACTTGGAAATACATCACCGTTCCTTTGGTGTCACTGGGTCAAAATCCTGGAATTCCCTGCCTAGCAGCATTGTGTGTTTACCTGCAGCACATGGCCAGCAGCGGTTTAAGATGCTCATGTTTCTTGGGAAAATTACGAATGGGCAATAAACAAAGATCACATTCCATGACATAGTTTCAGAAATGATGAGAATCCCTGTATTTATTTGCACATTTACACTGTTCCAGGTTCCTAATTTCAGGTTTATTTTCTGAAGGCAGTGGCTGGATTTTATCCCTATTAGAGTCCCTGTCCCCGGAGGAGAAAGTGGCTGGCAGCTGTTTCTTTTCCTTGTGAGCACGCCCCGTGGCTATAATTGGCGGCAGGTTTGGGAGAGGTGGGGGTGTCTTTGCCCCTCCCTGGGGGAGGGCTTCCTATCATTGGGAGCCGCTGGCCAATCTGATTCATCGACACCTCCAAAACTCAGTAGTGTGTGCTGCCAGTACTGCAAGGGGTCAGTTTACCTCACTTCGCTAAATGGTTACTTTGTGAGGCAGTATGCTGTCAACAGCATGGGTTCAAATCCCATCACTGACTTGTACCTGTGCCTGAGTGTGGTGACCCCCCCCCAGCCCAGGTTAAATCACCACCAGTTGTCTCTCTCTAACAAGCAGCCTTATGGCCTGGTAAGACTATGGTGATACAGTACTGTAGGAAGAGAGCCAATGAAGATCATAGTTGCCCCAACAATCTCCATCCTGTGCTTTTGATAGGGAGAGATCCCAGACTCTGTGGGGTGGAAAATGCAGAGTTGACTCCTTGACTGAATCAGAGGGGTTGGTAGTGCCCCCAGTGTGAACAGTACAGACCCCTTCCACTTTATGCCTGTGTTCATGTCGGCCTATAAAAGCAACATGTCCACGTTGTTGCATGTTATTTCAAACAAACCTCATTTAGCCACTTCCTTACCGAAACATAGAGGTGCCTGCCCATTTTACATTGTACAGCGGGTGAGCTTGTATTGGGCATAAAAACATGACAAATAGGAGCATAAGCGGGCCTTTTGGCCTGTTGAGCCTGCTCTGCCATTCAATAAGATCATGGCTGATCTATTTGTGGACTCAGGCCCACTTAACCTCCTGCTCATGGAAGTGATGGGTGACCTACCTTTATACCTGCCCCACCCTCAGCCCCCTGTCCCTGTGTGTGAAACCCAGCCCCATTCTTGGAATGTTACTCTGGGTGGGTCTGTGTAATGCTTGAATTGGTTTGAGGGGGTTGCGGGGGTGGGGGAGTTGCGGGGGGGAGGGAGGGGTGCGGTGGGGGGAGCGGTCAAACACTTTCCTTGCATTTTTGTTGACTTTCTGGTTTTAATTATGCAGAATGGGGAAATTAGAAGCCACAAAGTATTAACCTTAGACCTGTGGAGTGCCTTTACACAGTGTGATGACTTCATTTAACTGGAGTTGCTATTAATGTCAGTGTGTCCTTAAGATTGTTTTGTTTACTGTGATAACTGCAGTTTGTGTGTGAGTGATGATTATGTGGGAGTGAAACCATCCGATAAGTTCTAGCTTTTCTCACTGCTCACATCAAAGATGAAATAGAACCCACTGTCAATATTCCCAGGGAGCTTTCTCAGAACCTGTACTTAGTTTGAATGCAGAAACAGACATAAGATCACTAACTAACTGCAGTTGGAGCATCTGGAAAGATTTTCCTTATTCACTTGGCCTTCTGGTGAAATTTCACTGATGGAAACCTTTTACACATGGACCTTTGTCTTGACAACGTGAATTTGGGGAGTTGAAGGTTATTGGTATAAAAATGAGCCCGAAAGCTTTAACCCACAAATTCAGAGCACTTTTCGAGGTGGTTAGTCATACGCTTGAAAAGGAAATTTTTGCAGGGCTATGGGGAAAGAACGGGGATGCAGTGCAATTCAGTGAAACTTTCTGATGGAAAATGGATTTTCAACAGATTTCAGAAACATTTATTCCCTTGCCAGGGACTTTGTTTCTCCTTTTCAGTTATCACGTAACTGAACGCTGCTGTTTGAAGTGCTGTGTAGACTCGCATTGTTTGGCAGTTCTTGTGAAGCTGTGTAAAGAAGGAAATTGCTTTTTGATCATTGTTTAAACCTTCCCAAAAAAAAATCATGTTTGCAATACTATAAACCCTTCGCTGCCCTTGTAGAAGGGTTCCCTGTTGTTTAAATCATGTTTTGTTCCCTTTCAAAGAAAGCAGTGAACTTTTTATTTAAATTGTTTTTGTTTTCTTTATTGGTGTTTTCCAGTTTAGATCCAATGCTAATGGTGTATGTCTCTCTCAGAATCATAGCTGTGTCGGGGGCTCTCTGATACGATGTGACAAACTGGAACAGACAGAAATACGCAGTCTCCTCATGTGTTTCCTACATGTGCTAAAAAGCATGTCTGATGGTAGGTCCATTAACGTCTTTATTGTAATAACGTGGAGACAAAGCCTGAATTTGATGAGCAAATTAAAATCAGTTCCTAAACTCAAAAGCAAAGTGCTGCACACACTCGATTCCAGAAATAAGAGCTGAAAATGCTGGAGAGAAGCTAATGTTACTGATGCAAGATGTTTCCCTGAAACTGATGAAAGGTCATTGCTCTGTAATACCAAGTCTGTTCCTCTTCAGTTCCCAAATGCAATTTTTCCATTGGAAAATTGGGAATATACATTTGTTTGTTTTTAAGAGTTGACAGTTTACAATAATTTGGGAGCGATCCAAAAGGCTGTGACTCTGTTGTCTGGAAAAGAGAAAGTTGGCAGTGACAATACCAAGGTCTTTAGAAATACAAAAGTTTTCAGTAAGATCAACGTAGGGAATATTTTTACACGTGCGGGAGTTCAAAACTGCAGGCCGTAAAGATAAGACAGTGACTGCTATCTCCAGCTGCGAATTGAGGAGAAACTTCTTCGTCCAGAGAGTGGTGAGAATGTGGAATTCACAACAATATGAAATAGCTGAGGCAAACAACACTTAATGGGAACCATGATGTGGAGGTGCTGGTGTTGGACTGGAGTGGACAAAGTCAGAAGTCACAGGACGCCAGGTTATAGTCCAACAGGTTTATTTGAAATCACAAGCTTTCGGAGCGTTGCTCCTTCGTTAGGTGAAGTGGAGGGAAGCACACAGGCACATTACCTATGTGCTTCCCTTCACTTCACTTGGTGAAGGAGCAGCGCTCTGAAAACTTGTGATTTCAGATAAACCTGTTGGTCTATAACTTGATGCCATGTGACTTCTGATTTAATGCAAAGCCAGATGCCTTTTTATCCCGTGGACATACTGTCTCTTATTATCCATTCCTAATTGCCCTAAAAAAAGTTAGCACACCACCACTTCTCGAGGAATGGGTTGTAAATGTTCACCCAGTCAGTGATGCCACAACTAGTGAATGGATAGAACCAATAAACACATGAGGGAGAAGGAAATAGAAGGCTATGCTGATAGGATGAGGTGAAGTAGCATTGAGGGGACTGCTGTTGTGAAGCATGAAAACCAGCATAGATCACCTGGGCTGAATGGCCTGTTCATACTGGTGGTGTTAGGTAGGTAATTGAAATGCATTGCTGCTGTTTCCTTAGACAAATCATTATGAATACCCCTACTCCCGGGCTTTGATATGAACATTCAGAATAGTAATCATCACTGTTCTGATTGCGACCTAATTTCCTGCCTGTCCCCCCCCGATATCCTTGTTTGTTAAGAATTGATCTACATCTGTCGTGATCCTTCCAATGACCCTGTCTCAACCACCGTCTGGTGAGGAGAATGCCACAGACTCAATGACCCTCTGAGGGAAAGAATTTCTCATCATCTCCAACTCAAATAGTTGATCTCTTATTTCACATTGTATCCTCCAGTTCTGTTCTCTCCCGGAAGAGGAAACACCTTCACACCAATCACCAAGTTGCATTGCCTCAGGACCTTATATGTTTCAAATCACAACGATCAACTTATAAGATTACTATCTCTATATGCATAAGCTTAAACTTTTTCATCGCTTAACGTTCAGGAGTTAATGTCCCTCACAGATTTCCAATATTGGTGATCTACAGATTGACTTTAGAATTTGGCCTGTGCTAAGTTTTTCTTGTTACTTATTAGGGTAATTAGAGCTAAGATCAACCAGAGGTTTAGACCTTTCTAACTAATTGTTTTAATGAGCATGAAAGTACAGTAAGTTTTAGAGCTGATGACTCATGACTCTCTCATTCAGTTGTGTGACTTTCTAATTGCTTTGGGAGACTGAGCAGCCATGATTATTTCTGGGCACTATCTCAGGAAGAAATTTATTTAGGGGGCACAATGCAGATTCATAAGAATGATCCCAGGTCTTAAAGGACTTAAATTATGTAGACAGGTTGCGTAAAAGAGGTATTGTATTCCTCGAATGTAAAAGATTCAGGGGTGATCCAGTTGAGCTATTTTAATATGGTTAAGTATTGATAGTGGGGGTGTTGATCAAGTGGGCTGCTTGACCTGGATAGTTTGGAATTTCTGGGATAATAGATTCATTGGAATGCAAAGCTGGGTAAGTGTGTTTAAAATCAAGTGCGAACCTAAATTTAATATAATGATTCTTCAGTATATTTGGTCTTGTGAGAAGATAAATGAAAAGTTCTAATGCTCCAGGAGGAAATCTGGTTTTCCTTGTTAAAATGTGATAAGGTCGAAGAGGTGGAAAGTGTCATTAGGGGTTTCCTGAATCTTTGTCTGGTGATTTGATGCAGAACCAAGCAGAGGTTGGATCTTTAAATAAGACACAGGATCATGATTAGGCCATTTAGCGCATTAAGTCTGCTCCACCATTCAATCATGGCCGATATGTTTCTGAACCTCATCCTCCTGCCAATTCTCTGTAACTTTTGATTCCCTTACTAATCAAGAACCTATCTATCTCTATCTTAAATACACTCAATGACTTGGCCTCCATAGCCTTCTGTGGCAACGAGTTCCACGGATTCACCACCCTCAGGCTGTAAATTTGCTGCTCATCTCAGTTGTAAATGATTATCCCTTCTCTCTGAAGCTGTGCCCTTGGATCCTAGTGTCTCCTACTAGTATCAACATCTTTTCCACATCCACTGTATCGAGGCCTGTCTGTATTCTGTAAAAATTCAATGAGATGCACCCCCATCTTTCTAAACTCCATCAAATACAGACCCAGAGTCCTCAACCACTCCTCACATGATGAGCCCTTCATCCCCGGAATCATTCTCGTAAACGTCCTGTCGACCCCATCCTAGGATAGCACATCCTTCCTTAGATACAGGGCCCAGTGGAGAATTGATTGGATTTGGCCTGTTCCTGATCATCCCATTGTAGGTGCAAATGGGATAGAGACGTCTCAATGGATGCACTTTGTTGTCACTTCATTAGTCACTGGTAGATGTGTACATGAGAAATCATTTCAGCCATAAGTTAATATGAGCACAATTGGAAAACAGTAAACACTGGGAATACCAGATGTCAAATCAGATGACTTTACACAAGAGTACTGTTTTATTGATTATATTTGACAGAATAACGCAAACTTTGTTGTTTATTTTGTAGATGCATTGATTACTTATTGGAACAAGGCTTCTACCGCTGAATTGATGGACTTCTTTACAATCCTAGAGTGAGTGTGTCTGAGCTGATATTTTTGCATGTGCCATTCCCAACTGCAATTTTTGTGTTTTCAAGTATTCAGTGAATAGATGGAAGAAGCTTTTTTTTTTGCACTCGGGATAGGGAAACTTGGGAAGAGGTATCAATATCAGGTGGGGGGGGGGTGCTTGGGAAGAGGTCTGGCAAATATAGAGAAGGAGAAACTGTTCCCATTGACACAAGGGCACCCAGGGGGATGGTGCAGTGGTTGTGTGCCTGGGTCAGTAATAAGTTACTCCAGGAGAATATCCTGAGGATATGGGTTCGAATTCATCCATGGCCACTGATGAATGAAGGCGATGGTGTTGTGGTATTCTCGCTAGACTATTAATCTAGACACCCAGGTCATGTTATGGGGTTGCACGGTGGCTCAGTGGTTAGCACTGCTGCCTCCTAGCACCAGTGTTCTGGGTTCGATTCCAGACTTGGGTGACTGTCTGTGTGGAGTTTGCACATTCTCCCTGTGTCTGCGTGAGTTTCCACCGAATGCTCCGGTTTCCTCCCACAGTCCAAAGATGTGCAGGTTAGGTGGCTTGGCCATGCTAAATTGCCCATCATGTTCAGGGATGTGCAGGCTAGGTGGGTTAGCCATGGGAAATGCAGCGTTACAGGGATGGGGTGGGTCTAGGTGGGATGCTTTTTCAGAGAGTTGTTGTGGACTGAATGGCCTGCTTCCACGCAGTAGGGATTCTATAAAGGGTCAAGAACCAAAGGAAGTAAACCAACTGGTAAAAGGTGAAGTGACGAAAATGTTTTTTTACCAAGCTGATGACACTATGGTGGGGGTATTTAGTTGTGGTTTTTACAGGGAGTTGGATAGTTATCTAAAATGAAATAATCTACAAGGCTATGGGGACATGGCAACCACCTCAGTTGCTTTTTAAGAGAATTGGCAGGTCTCATTGGGCCAAAGGGTTTCCTCCTCAGTGATGTAGCCACTCTCTGATTTATCGGTTAGCCTTTTGAAGGTTACTATTGAATCAGCTTCCACCAGCCTTTCACACAGCATATCCCTGAGGAGAACAACTCACTGTGTCAACTCCAGTTCTTTTGGTGATCACCGTAAATCTGTATGTTCTGGTTACTAGTCCTTCTGCTACAGGAAAATGGTTTTCTCTCTATCTTTTAATAGATTGAAATTGTTTAATTGTTGCTAGTGGTGAATTATAGTTTATTATTAGTGGTGACAATTGCTATCTTGAGTTTTATTTAATTATTGAAGCATAAACCTGTTTGGTTGGGTGGTCTGTCTCTATGCTGTGGAAGAAACGTATTACTGCGCTGAATGTTACATTTCTGTCCACAGAGTGTGTCTTCATCAATTCAGATATATGGGGAAGCGATACATAGCAAGGTACTGTTACTGATTCTACTCATTGTCCTGAAATGTCAGCCAGCACTTCCATAATTTCTTAAGTTTTGAAAAAGAGAAAGAATTTGCATTTCTGTGTCACCTTTCACAACCTCGGCAACTGAGCCCCAAAGTGCTTTACTGTAACAAAGTACTTTTGAGGTGTGGTCCCTGTTGGAATGAGGTAGGTACAGGAGCCAATTTACTCCTACAACCAGCGCTTGATGATTCAAGCATAAAGCTGGCCTTCACAGTCTTTGTCATTGGTTTTTAATTTGTTTTGCGCAAAAACATACCCACCCACAAACTAAGCTGCATCGCAGATCAAAGCGATGAGTTTGACAAGTTTCTACCAACTGACCCCTGTTCGACAGGCTTGTTCAATTTGTACAAGAACAGAAAATGCTGGAGAAACTCAGCAGCTCTGGCAGCATCAGTGAAGAAAAAGCGGAATTGATGTCTCTGGTCCAGTGACCTTTCTCCAGAGCAAAGTGCTCAAGTTTCCATTTATGGCAAATTCTACAGCCCAGTAAACCTTTCACTGGTTCCCTACCTATCCCAACATGTACATTTACAAACTGAAGTGAGATCAGTGAATTATTTTTATAAGACACTTCTTTATTTTTAGTTTTGAGGACTAACTCCTTTTTCTGACAGCTTATGTAATTTAAAAATTGTGAAGCTTTATTTCAGATGGACCAGTAGACAATTGCATTTTATTAATTTTGTGCACTGTTTTGATTTAACCATTTATATTTCCTGAGT